GAGAGCAAAAATGTCATATGCATAATGAAAAAGCAATGTACTTTTGTCTCCTTTTGCTGAGGCTATGAGAACCAGGGTTTTAAAATACAGGATTCAAAAACAAGACCTGGGAGTAACTGTGAAACCTAGCGATGCAGCAGCCACTGCCAGTGCCTGTCTTGCTCTTGTGTTACTGTGTCAGTGCTTGCTTTCCAATGATCTAGAAATCCTCAAATCATCAAGACCTATTTTGGATGCAAGTACATGAGGCCAGAAGTCCCGGGCATGAGCACCACTGTCCCCCAAGCAGTCCTCAACAAATTAATGGCCTGCCCTCCAGCTCAAGTGGTTGCTCTCTGCCTCCCAGCATTCCCCAGAGGGACCAGCTCCAGATGCCCATATTTGACATCATATACTTTATTGGTCTCTTTCTCTCCCCTAACGCCCTTCTCCATGCCCAAGCCAGTGTATGCTGGAGTCACCTGCCAAATAAACAGCTTGTAGTCACATCCTTATCTCCAGTCTGCTTCTGGCAAAATCCAAACCAAGAAAATGGGTTTTGCAGGTTCTACAGTTCTCTAAGTGCTTGTTTGGAGTTCTCATTTCATCACTAGTGTCTCATTAGTCACATATGAAATCAAAGAAAACCGAGAAACAGGGATCAAGAAAGTATCAGTGAGGAAAGCATCTTGGGAATACAGTGAGCTCCCAGTGAAACGAGCTTGCTGTAGCTACAAGCTCCAATCTGTCAATATCATTTGTCAATGTGGCCCTGAGTTTGCCAGATCCTCTTATAGGAATTATTAAAATGTTAAGAATTTCAAAGTTTTTTTTTTTTTTTTTGACAGGCAGAGTGGACAGTGAGAGAGAGAGAGACAGAGAGAAAGGTCTTCCTTTTGCCATTGGTTCACCCTCCAATGGCCACTGAGGCTGGCCATCACGCTGATCCAAAGGCAGGAGCCAGGTGCTTCTCCTGGTCTCCCATGTGGGTGCAGGGCCCAAGGACTTGGGCCATCCTCCACTACACTCCCGGGCCATAGCAGAGAGCTGGCCTGGAAGAGGGGCAACCGGGACAGAATCCGGTGCCCCGACCGGGACTAGAACCCGGTGTGCCGGCACCGCTAGGCAGAGGATTTAGCCTATTGAGCCACAGCACCGGCCCCAAAGTTCTAAAAATATAAAACAGTACAAGTTTTTTGTAAGACCACTAGGTTTTATCTACTAAAGCAGAGCATATGCATTCCCTATGGCCAGCCAATTCCAAACCTGAGTAGATATTCAAAAAAAGTCCATACTTAGAGCAACAGAAGACAGGTACTAGAATGTTCACAGAAGCACTCCTTGGAAAGGACCCAAATGCTGGTAACCAGTAGAATTGATGCATTGTCCACAATCACAATGGCATACTGTGTAGCAAGGGGAACAAGTGAACCATTGCTATCCACCACAATATATACACACAACAACCAGTGATATTTCAAACAACATGCCAAATAAAATAAACAGCAGAACCTTCAACTGTTCCATTTACATAAACTATAAAGCAGAGAATATTAATCTATGCTGTTTGCAGTCAGATTAGACTCTCCCTTTCCAAATCAGCACGTATGCTCACCAGCTGTACTAGGATTCCCCAGGTAGTGATATATGCTTTAGGATTAAATTACTTCTTCCTCTTTCTGGGAAGGGTGATAACATGGATCTGTCTACGATTCACCTTAACAGAAATCGGGCCCTAACATTATTATGGTGCCTGTTATTGGAGTTCCTAGGTCTGGTATTTACACAAAAGCTCTCAGTCCTGAGAGAAGGCATTCAATCTCCCCAGGGACAGTGTTTGGGATCCAGAATGCCTCTCCTCAAGAACCAAAAATAGTCTCATCCCTGCCCTGGCAGATTCCCTCAGGCAGACGTGATAGGTCAGTTGTCAGCTTATCAAGTTCTGGTCCTTGTTAGAAATGCAATGCAAAGTGGGAGACCCAATTTCCCTAAGAGAATGCTTGTTTTAGTGGAAAGAGCAAGGGATTTTGGACAGACTGGCATGTGCTCAAAGCTGAGCTCTATATCAAACGATTAATGGAATCCAAACTCCCTTATTAAATGGTTAATGGGATCCAAACTCTCTGAATCTAAAGAATATATATATATATAATCAGATTGCAATGAGTACTAAATATTATGACATCCATGTTTTTTTGCATCCTGTGAGTACTCAAGTCACTTTTCTTTCTTTGCTATAAAATCAAGTACCCACTTTTAACTTGTAAAGATTTTCAGATCCAGGGTATCACTTCTCCCCTCCTTCATTCCCTTCCTCCCTCCCTCCCTGTTCCCTCCCCACCCCTCCCGCTGCCTCCTTGTGTGTACATACAAACACAACTCCCCCCAACACACGTTTCAAGCAGTAATGCCTGATGGGCCACTGCAGTGGTGCAGCTGGTTAAACCCTGGCCTGCTGTGCTGGCATCCCATACGGGTGCCAGTTCAAGTCCTGACTGCTCTACTTCCAATCCAGCTCCTTGCTAATGCCCCTGGGAAAGCAACAGAGGATGGCCCAAGCTACTGGGCCCCTACACACACATGGAAGACCCAGAAGAAGCTCCTGGCTCCTGGCTTCAGATTAGCCCAGCTCCAGCTATTGCAGCATTTGGGGAGTGAACCAGAGGACAGAAGATGTCTCTTTGTCTCTACTCTCTTTAAAAAGTTTTTTTAAAAAGTAATACATGAGGCAGGAATACAGCCCTTCCTTGGCAGACACAGCCAAAAAGAGCAATGTGTTTTAGCAGGGGCAGAGAACTCCACAGTTCCCCACTCATGACCCCAAAATTGATCTTAAGCTCTGCTCACAATCCGCCAGACTTCACTGCAAAATCTGCCTTCACTCGAAAAACTCAACATTTCTTCCTCTTCTCTCCTACTGACTTTTCATTCCTGATGTCAACTGAAAACTTTTCTTTCCCTCTATAGCATATACATCTTAAATTCAACCAATCAAGAACTGTGATTTTTCTTCAGCATCTGTGTTGTTTAACGTACTTTATGCCATAGGGGAAACAGCTGTGCAGCAAATGGCAGGCTCAATGGAAGGTACATTATGTCAAATGGAAAATGCATTTGGGTTATCCTAAGGATGGTAGAATGTTGTTTAAGAATGTGGAATTTTGCTAGAAGACACAACTTTTTCAATATCTTATTGAAGCATAACATAAAAGAAAAATGTGTACATCATAAATATATGGCTTAATGATTTTTCACGAACTAAACACAACTTGCTAATTGTCTCTTACTCAAGAAAATTATTGACAGGATTTCCACATACCCCTCATAACTACCCCCTCAATGGGTAATCTGTTGAGAATTCTAAAAGAACAAATTTGCTATAAATCAAATCATGTATGATGGGTTCTGTTATAATTTCATTAAATATTTTGTTTGAGAGGTGTATTCATACTAATGAATGTTACAGTTCACATATTCTCATCATTTGGTTTTGTTCTATGTCTAAACATACCATAATTCAATTACTGCTTTTATTGTTAAGTAGCATTTTTTTTTAAATCCCCAGTGGTTATTTTAGTGATTGCTCAGGTGATTAACAATTGCTCAAGGCAGTGGAGGGCCACTGAGGGTTGGTATTTATTTATTTGATAGGTAGAGTTACAGACAGAGAGACAGAAAGAAAGGTCTTCCTTCTGTTGGTTCATTCCCAAAATGGCTGCAACGGCCGGAGCTACACTGACCCAAAGCCAGGAGCCAGGAGCCTCCTCCTGGTCTCCCAAGCGGGTACAGGGGCCCAAGCATTTAGGCCATCCTCCACTGCCCTCCCAGGCCACAGCAGAGCGCTGGACTGGAAGAGGAGCAACCGGGACTAGAACCCGATGCCCATATGGGATGCTGGTGCCGCAGGCAGAGGATTAACCCAGTGCGCCACCGTGCCATTCCCCTGTTAAGTAGCATTTGGCATGACTTCAGGGTGAGGTTGTTATGCAAACTTCTGTCATGAAGATTCTTGTACATACCATGTGTTGTACATATATCCTCCTAGGTACATACTAAGGAGGAGAATTGCCAGTTCATGTGGTACCCACATATTCAGATCTAGTAAACTGCCATGTTCCAAAGTAATCAGATCATTTAAATTCCCACAATCATAGTATGAGAATTACATTTGCTTCAAGGTCCTCACCAACACTTGGTATTAGCTGTGGTGTTTAGCTTTTGTTTCGTTTTATTTTATTTTTGTCATTATGGTCGGCATATAGTTGGATTTCATTATGCTTTTAAATTGTATTTTCCACATAGTTAATGAAGTAAAGCACCTTTTTGACATATTTATTGACCATTTGGATATCTTCTTTAATAAAGTTGCTGGTAAAGTATTTTTTGTATATTTCAAGTTATTTTTGTTTTAGCCTTTCCCTGATTTATTCAAAGATTAAAATGTTTATGGCAGACTAGATTTGGACATTTGTTCCATACTTTGTTGCACTATTCTGCTACTTTTCTTGATTCTACAGTAATTAAAGCTATCTGCAGTTATCATTAATGGGTATCTCTGAGCAATTTAATTTTATTCCAGAATTATGCCTTATAGCATTTTAGAAGCAATGAATAGAGATTATTTCACTGAAAAGGTCTGTGACCACAGGCAAGTGTTTTTTTTTATTCTCCATTCATGGTTTTCCCATCTGAAAAAGGAAAAGATTGCATCTGAACTAACCCAACTCCAAGATTCCATAAAACACTGACAGATACGTCACTTAGAGAAGTGAGAAACAGTAAAATATTAAACTTAATGCCCCAAAATTTGGTAACCCTTGCTCCTAAATTTAAAAGATGCAAGACTTATATAATCAGGTTCCATATTGACCTTTTTTCTCACGTCTTGAAAAATATGTGGCTGGCCCCAACTCATAAGGATGTGGGAACCATAGAGGGGCAATAGTTTCATCTTTGTGAATCTCAGACCAGAAATACAGGGCTGGCATGTAATTTTTTTCTTCTGATTTCTTCCTTCTCAGGCCCCCATTCTTAACCAAAAGAGAAAACTAAATAAAGAAGCAAAAATGGCTGTTCAACTTTGTAAAGCCATGCCCCAGGTAAGTTTATGTTTTCACTCTGTTTTTAGCTATTTCATGTCATTTTAGGGGGACTACCTTTCACAACAGGTAATATCACTATGGACAACCCAGTGAGCACCCTCTCTCCTTTCCTCTCTTCTTTTGTTCAACTATACTTCTACAAAAGAATACCCTTTTTACTCTCTTCTCCCAGCTATCAGCTCGGCTCATACCTTCAATCTCTATCTCTGCTTAGTTGTCACTACATGAGAAGGTCCTCCTAAATTTAAATCTAAAGAAAACACCAATATAGGTAACTCCCTTTATCTTTATTCTTATTTTCTTGATAGCATTTATCACCAATGGACACATTGCAAGCTTTGTTTGATGTTTTTCTTCTCACTCAAAATTACAAGATCCAAGACATCTAGAATTTTTCCAGTTCACTTATTTCACAAATTCTCAAAGGTAAACTGACTGCTACTAACCTGAAATCTGCATTTCCATCATTCTCTCCCTCTCTAGTGACTTGGCCTCAACTGTCCAATGAGGGACAAAATTTACTGGAAGGTTGTAGAAAACAATACTAAAAAAGTCTTTACAATGTCAGTGAAATGAAAGACTTTGCATAACAAGATATACAAAATACCCCAACCATAAGTAAATGATTAATCAATTAGATAACATTAAATAAAGAACGTGTATGCATCAGGAGACACTGTAAGAGAGAAAAGAGATGTGATATACGTATAACCAAAAAACAGTTTATATCCAGATTAACTTATTAAAAATCCTACAGGGGATTTAGCTGCTGCTTGGGATCACCACACCTCATTTATGAGTGACCGGTTCGTCTTGGCTACTCTTCTTCCCAGCCAACTTCCTGCTAATGCATCAAATACTTGGGTCCCTGCCACCCAAGTGAGAGTACTAAATGGAGCTTAAGACTCCTGGATTTGGCCTGGGCCAGCCCTGGCTGCTGTTTGCATTTGAAGAGTGAAACCACAGATGGTAGATTTTGATCTGGATCTCGATCACAACTTTTGCTCTCTTCCCTCCCTCCCTCTCACTCACTTGCTTCCTTTCAAATCAACATTTTTTTAAAGAGGAAAAAGTAACTCAATAAAAAACTAGGCAGTACCTCTGAAGAAACACCAAAAAGAGAATAAAACTCAAAAGCAGATGTTGCTTCATTAGTAATAAAGGAAACGCAGGTTAGCTTTTCAGTGAGATTCCATTACATGCACACCAAACTATAAAGTATTTAAACTTATAGAGTGCTGGAGAGGGTACAGGACAATTTTAATTTTCATGCTTTGCTACTTGGAGTATAAATTAGGACACCTACTTTTTTCCTACTCATTTATTTATTTGTGAGGCAGAGAGAGACAGAAAGAGAGAAAGATATAAAGATACAGAGTGAGTTCCTGTCCCCTGGATAACTCCCCAAATGCCCACAATGTACAGAGTTAGGCCAGGGCCAGACCTGACAGTCAGGAATTCAGTCCAGGTCTGCCATATAGGTGTCAGGAACTCAATTACTGGAGTCATTGCCACTTCCTTCCAGGGTCTGCACTGGTACGAAGATAGTCAGGGACTAAAACTGAGCATCAAACCTAGGCACTCTAATATGTGAGATGGGTGTCTTAGTCCTAACCTCTAGGCTAAGCACCTGCCCTACGACACTTAAAAAATATTGGCAATATCTAATTCAATTGAGGATATATGAGTGGGCATGGATTTCAAAATTGTTTATATGAAAATAAACTTATCTTTTATTTCAATTTTCCATGAACTTTTTGAAGTCCCCTCATAAGTAAACTGACTCAGTAACTCAGTTGCTAAGTACATAACCTACAGAACCGCATTCATATGGGCATTTATTTTCAGGTGCAACATTCTCAAAACTTAAAAATTAGAAACAACTTAAGTGTCTTACCAGTGGTGCAAGATTTAGATAAACTATTATAGTATGCTATTTAGTTTATTTATTTAAATAGTTTATTTAGATAAACTATTATAGTATGCTATTCCAATAGCATACTATAAGTAAAAAAGAATGTCAACAGTTATATAGAAAAGATTATGAACCTTTACTTAGCATAGAGTTGGTCTTCTGTATATAAAGTAAATTAAAAACAAATCTTAATGAAGAATGGGATGGGAGAGGGAATAGGAGGTGGGACAGGAGTGGGGGTGGGTATGGGGAGAAGAACTGCTATGTCCCTAAAGCTGTACCTATGAAATTTGTGTTCATTAAATAAAACCTTTTTTAGGGAAAAAAAGATTGTAAATCTTTTTTTTTTTTATTTTATTTTTTTTTTTTTTTTTTTTTTTTGACAGGCAGAGTGGACAGTGAGAGAGAGAGACAGAGAGAAAGGTCTTCCTTTGCCGTTGGTTCACCCTCCAATGGCCGCCGCGGCCGGCGCGCTGCGGCCGGCGCACCGCGCTGATCCGATGGCAGGAGCCAGGAGCCAGGTGCTTTTCCTGGTCTCCCATGGGGTGCAGGGCCCAAGCACCTGGGCCATCCTCCACTGCACTCCCGGGCCACAGCAGAGGGCTGGCCTGGAAGAGGGGCAACCGGGACAGAATCCGGCGCCCCGACCGGGACTAGAACCCGGTGTGCCGGCGCCGCTAGGCGGAGGATTAGCCTAGTGAGCCGCGGCGCCGGCCCAGGAAAAAAAGATTGTAAATCTTTAAAACATGATGCCAAGAAAAGAAACTAAATGCAAAAGAATATCTGTTTGATTCCATTAACAAAGGCCAAACACAGGCAAAACTGGACTTATCATTACATTAAATACAAAGAAAAGCATATTATTTTTTCATAGCAGTTACTTGTAGGGGGAGCAAAAGAAGAAAGAAGTATATACACAGTTTCTGCATTGCTGATGGTGTTCTCATTCCTGACAAGGTGATAGTTCAAGACAAATTCTTATATAATGACTTTTAGGAATTATTTTATGCCCATGTTTCATATTTCACAATATAAAAATAATGTGTATCTTACTTGGCATTTAGTAACTGCTTAATTGTAAGGATATATGATAATGATCCTCTTTTTTTGTAATTTGTACTTTAAAAATGCTTTGTCTGGGGGCCAGCATTGTGGCATAGTGGGTTAAGATGCCACCTGCAATGCCAGCACCCTATATGGGCACTGGTTCAAATCCAGGCTGCTTCACTTCCCATCCAGTTCCATGCTAATGAACCTGCGAAAGCAGCAAAGATGGATGAAGTGCTTGGGCTCCTGTATCTACATGGGAGATCTGGATAAAGTTCCTGGCTCCTGGCTTTGGCTTGGTCCAGCCCTGATTGTTACAGCCATTTGGGAAGTGAACCAGTGAACTATTAGATGGAAGTTTCTCTCTCTCCCTCTCTCCCTCTCTCCCACTCTCCCTCCCTCCCTCTCTCCCACTGTGTGTGTGTGTGTGTATGTGTGTCCACCTTTCTGTAATTGCTCTTTACAAGTAAAATAAATTTTTTAACAGTGCTTTGCTAAAAATAACCTGCTTTAATTTGTTTTAAGCATTGTTTTAATTCCCTTTTCACATATGAGAAAAATAAACCTTAATCTTCGCACAACACAAATAACCAGGAAGGAGAGATCTTGTCTCTTGGGCTCAAATCCCATGCCTATTTTCTAAGCTCCCACCTGCCATGTTGTTTAATGGAAGTACAATGAGCCAAGAGCCTGATTTACTGTGTGACTTGATTTCAAGGTCTTAAGGTGTGTGTGCACCTTGGTTTTTCCAAATGTCAAAGGGGAAATGAAGGCTTCCTACTTGCTACAGAACTTGAGAGTATAGAAATGAAAACACAATCAAATGTACAAAAGGCTGAACATATTTCCTGAGTGCTGTGTTGGTGCGCTCTTGCCCATACTTAGAGCCAAAATTGATTTTAACAGTTAGAACTAAACTAGCATTGACATTAATCTCACTCTTTCTGTCACTGTTCCCATCTACTCACCTACCAAAAAAATAAACATGTGATGAAGAGATAATCTAATTGGAAGGTTTGGACATTGGGGCCAATTGTGACCAGTCTGCAAAGAGCTAACCCAGTCAAATTTGGAAGCAACAGAAAGCATACACCTTCTCTTCACTCAAAGATATTACAAAACATTCTCCCATTGTATCACTCTGAGAGGTTAAAGGGCATCAACAAGGAAATTAAGCTTATTCTTTTCCTGCTTTCACCAAAAACAATCTCTATGACTATCTCATATGTCTTCTGACAGAGGGGCACCCATTGGGAAGATTAAGTCTGTTATCAAGAAAAGCAACCAACTTTCCATTTACATTAGGCTTTTATTATCTGATGAGAAAAAAAAGGGTACATTTATCTAGTCTTTCAAAAGGGAAAAGGAAATCCTACAAATCTGTCCATTATACCTGCCGAGAATCTAAAGTGAGGTCAAGACAAAAGCAGATTACTTTTGATAGTGTTAATAGGAGTTTATTGCAAGGCCTGGCAGCCAGGTCTCCCTCTGTGGATTTCTGAATGGATTTGGGAGCTGGGCTATTCTTGGAGTAATGAGAAAGAGCCTTATCTCACACCATAGAAAATTCAAAGATCCCCGAGGCTTCAGAAGTCTTATGATGCACTTTAGCAGAGCTAAAAGTCAGGGTGGTTATCATTACTAGCTTTCCAATGTGGGGGTTACAGAAGTAATCCTAAAAGGGACAGGCATGCAACTCCCAATATGGCAATATTAACAGCATGCCAAAGGAGGATCACATGACTGTAGCTGTTCCCATGTCTGAACCTCTTACAGAGGCATTACTGAGTTGGTCATGGGTTACAATCATCAGGCACTGGCTCTAATTTCAATATTGGAGACTGCATTAGGAAAACATTGGGATGTTTAAATAATTAATGAGTATTTTGGTTTTGGGAGAGGTAGAAGCCAAGAGAATGACAGAAACAAAAAAGCCAGAACCACAGCAATAGTCTCTTGGTTGTAAAGCCCCAGTCAGGGCTTCATCATGTATGACCACCTGTGTGGTGTGTAGTTTAGTCACTGTGTTCCCAAG